TCATGATGGTCAATTACATTTTTCATGTATTATTGATAACTTTCTCTGAAACCCAAATAATTTCTGGTTACTTTTGCTCCTGTCACATTTTCACTCACTGTGGGCTCGTTGTTCGCTGCATTACAAACTCCTGCACCTCTATGGAAACTGCACAGTGAGAAGGAGATAGAATTTTTTAAATGGCTTTTGTGCAGTATTAAACAGTTATATGATGGCTCTTCCTATGAATTTCTTTAATAATTTTAACAAATATTAATTTATAAATATAATAAATTAATAAATATTTCACGACTTACATTTTTAATTCGATTCCACACTTGTCTCCTCTCTTCTCCATGTAAACACATTCTGCAGTTTAACTCAAAAGTCTTTGAACTTTTTTCCCTGACTGTAGCTCACAGATGATTCAGTGATGGCTTTATGGTTGTACCAAAGAGTGCGGATATTTATTTATTTATTTTTTTGAGAATCTATTAGGGGTAAAATTTTAAATGAGATATGCAGAATAATTGATGACTTTGATGACATATCACAATTTTAAGCTTAGCTTTGGGGAAGTTTTCTGATCAAACAGCCTGCCATAGATAAGTAGTTCAAGGGCTATTGGAAACTCCTGATGTCATTTTGGTGATATTTTGAAGATATACAAATGCCTTTCGAGCCCGCCAATGGGTTTTAGATTTCTGAGGGGTACACTATAACTTTAAATGTTATCTCCCTATACAATGTCCTAGGTGTAATGATTTCCCAAACACATACTGTATATTAAAGGCAGATGTACCCTCCGGGTCTGGAAAGTAAAGTAATACACAAGTGTGTTAAACCTGCATTCTTTTCCATGACCAGCAGGGGGAGACTCCACTGGTTGCAAAAACAACACTGTCCAAAGGTCTATGGGAAAATGACCCTACTTCTCATTTCTCTTTTTATCTCAGTAAACATTTTCTGAATTACTTTATGGTCTTAATCGCTAGTTTTATGGCTCCCTTAATACAGGATGATGTTCATTTTGTAAATGAGGCTCTTCTTTAGAGTAAAATAGCTCAGAGAGCAGGGTACGATTTAGGGCTCGGCTACCTTATGAATGACAAGTTGCTGCTTCATCGTTCTGCCCTCTGTCAGATCCTCATCTTGCTTGATGGCAACTGCCAAATTCCAAACTCAAGGCCTCAAAACTGTAGTCCACAAACCAAGCAGTGACGTCGTTGTGGCTACATCCATCTTTTGTGTGCCCTTTATGATGTCAAACCCATTCAGCTCTCACTGAATTCTTGTCAGTTGTTTATTTATCAATCTAAAATTAGTCCAGCTCACACATTGTAATAAAAATACTAGCAGGGTGTAAGCTTTTATGAGAATTATTTTTATTTTCCACAAGTTCCTAAAACCTTTTAATTAACAGAAAATACTGACAGAATTGCCTGAGTGTAAACAGTAAATAAGACCCTGCCTAAAAGTAGTTAAATTAAACATATGCGCTCAAAAACTCAATTAAAACTGCAATCATCCTGTCAAATCCCCAAAATAAGGAAGCTTTTAACTGAATTAATTACGTCTTGCATAAAACCTCTAAATTCACATGCAGACAAATATATAGTGAAGACGGAACCTCGGCGTCCTCAGCAGTGCTTACAACCCTGTTGCATTGAAGTTGCTCTGACTATTATTAAAGATAGTCGTCTTTTGTGCTTGCACAGAGTTGCATGGTAATTATCTTCCCTCTGGTTCCTTTGAGGTAGCCTCTGCTAACGTGAGATAGTAAAGATTTGATGGTGATCATTCTTATATAAGGCACCTGTTACTCAAGAGGACGCGGCTGTCAGAAAGCCTCCTTATCAAACCTTCTTTGTCTTTCTGCGTCTCTCACAAACTCTGGTCTCTCCAGCGGTGAGAAATCAGTGATCAGTGTTGAATTCGCTGCTGCCTTCTTTTCAGTAAAGGTCAGGGGTTGGGTCCGCTGAGGCTCAGCAGGGAAAAGGCACGGACAGATTTTAGCAATGCTCCATTTGCCCCTCTCACTGGTGTCGGTGAAGTAGGGTGTGACCTTTCATGCAGCAGTACAACCCCACACTATTTGCCTCCCGGCATTCGCTGTGTGCAGACTCTGCCAGTGCTGGTTAAATTTAGTTTCCGTTGACCCTTAATAAATTAATGCCAGCAATTATGTAAACAGATCAAGTTAAAGGGTCAGGCCACCCAAACTCTGCAGTGTTTCTTCTCAGTTACTCACATTAAAGTCCCAAATCAGACTGCTGATGCTGTGGATTAGACAGAGCAACGGGAGCCCTGTTTCTAGAGAGAGGTTGCTGGTTTTAAAAATGTATTTTGTCAGAGCCATGAAACAGTTCTATTCTTTTCTCTTCCAATGTTTTGGAAGCAGACATTTACAAAACAGATGTCTTAAATCCTGAGCAAATAAGACCAAAACAATCTGCCTGGCTGGAGACCGCTCGGGGTTTAGTGTTTGTGTGGGTTTTATTGTGTCTTTGATGAAAATCATGTAGATTGAAACATCACACACAGATACACTTGCAATGAGGGTTTTTTTTTTTTTTTTTTTTTTAAGCCAACATGGACAAAACAGCCTTTCAAAACAGGAAAATGAGCATCTACAAATCTTGGCAATTGACCAGTGTACCTCTGGTGTTTATGTGAAATGACTGAAAGCTCAGCCGTTAAATTGACTTTGAGGTGGAGAAATTATATCATTATTTATTAGTATCATTTATTGCGTTTTAGTCTTCTTAACCCCAAGATGTTTCTGGGTGTTCTTCTGCACCTGCTACATTTTTACTCACTGTGGGCTCATTTTTCATCTATGGAAACAGCACAACCATGGCTAGAAGTACAAAAAGCTTGTATATGGCTTTTGTGCAGTATGACACAGTTATTATAGCATGGACGTTGTTGTTTTTTTTTGAAGGGGGAGCTGGTTAAATTTCATTAATTGTTTATTTTAAAAAATACTTGAAAAAAACTCTAACATAGACAACATGTTTCCAAGTGTCCACGGGTGTTACCAACACTGGGGGAAATGATGACTCTCACATTACATTAGATATTTTACGAATAACATTTATTTTTATCACTCATCTGTTCTTTGCTCTGTGTAAACACAGTCTGCAGTTCAACCCACAGTCGTCCTTAAATGCATTCACACCTTAAAGAAGGAAAAACAGCTGAAATAAGTTGAAATTGACAAAAGTAATAATAAATTTTAAAAAATAATAAAAATCATGACATTGCTTTTGAATTGTGGTTCAACAGTTTTTTTTTGTTTGTTTTTTTTTTAAAGAAAAAAAACAACAACAAGCAAAGAAGCATGATGGGACCGTAAACTAATATTTTGTTGAACAACCCTTTGAGCCAATCACTGCATCAAGTGTTTTCTGTACCTCTGTCAGACTTCTGCACCTGTTGACAGGTATTCTGGTTTTGGTCCACTGCTCATCAGCAAAGTGCTCTAATTTGTCTGGGTTTGTATTTGGTTTTGGTTTTTTTAATTATTCTTTTCACCCACAATTCAACAGCAATATCTTATTTCACTAAATTATAATTTAGTATTTTTTTATTTATTACTACTTTTTTCAGTTTCTAGTTATTTGAGTGACTTTTGTGAAATTTGCCTTTTCTTTAATGGAAGGGGATGAATACCGTTGAGGACTAGTTCAGCTAAATAGTCTCTGGCTGATTGTGCCTTCATAGTCGCACCAAGGAACAGAGAATGTTTTGTTCTTTACAGAATGTGGTGAAAACTGTTTTTGTTGTGTTTGTTTTTTGTAGATTTTGAAGTGATTTTGATTTCATGATTTAAGCTTAGATGTGGCTATTTTTCCCAACAGAACTGTGCATCACAAGGAGATTCAAGGAATTCCAGAAAGCTAAAAATCTGACTATTATCTCTGTTTTTCCACTTTCTGGTTTTAATAAATGGTGCAATTTGGCATTTCTTTATAAAGATAGCACGCTTTTTAAACTTGCTGACAAGTTTCCGACTTCAGAGGGTTAATTGCCTAAAAGACTGATTATAAATGAGTAAATACAACTTGGTTACACGCCTGTGTCCCTGTATGAACTGTACTTGATGACTGTGGTTACAGCTGTGTAAGTCCTCTTGTCATTATTTTCTTTTCTCATCATTCCTGCTGAGTCCCAGCAGAGTGTTCGCTATGATTAAAACTGTTACAATTGGAATCAATTTTTCATCCGCAGCCCATCGTCTGTAGTTGGCTTCATTTCGCTACTCGCAGATCATGGCGTTGTCTGAACCCCTGATTGCAGATCAGTGCTCGCATCCCACCTCACGCTGTAAATAAGCGACGGGTATATTACATGCTGTAAGCACTTCCTGACGTTTATGGATGATGCTGAAATTCTGCAGTGACATTAATGCTGAGCCAGAGCCTTCCTGCCTTGTTCTGGCCTTTATGGGAGCGTCTGTGTTTGCTGCTGTGCCTGTCCACCTTTGTGTGCATGTCTGCATATGAGCAATGTTTGTACATTTTGCATTGTTTATGGGGGCTTTCTGTCTCTTTCTATCCAGAACCCGGCCAGCCAAGGACTGTTTTTTCTGTGGACTCTTCAGGTAAACACATAATCTCTGGTGGGCCACTTCAAGGAAACAAACTGTTCTTCAGCTCCAAACAGGACAAGACGTTCATTCTTTTTCTTGCGTTTTGCTTCAGGAACAGAGTTCCAAGACATCGAGGTTCACCTGCGCAGACAGAAGTCCGGGTTTGGTTTCCGGGTGCTGGGTGGTGATGAGGCCGGGCAGCCTGTGAGTCCGGAGACGCGTGAGAAGGCTCGTATGGCGATGGGCGTGGAACCCTGTCATCTTCTCCTCTCTAACCCACTACACACACACTGAACACCTAACCCTGACCCGTGACCCCTGAGAGAGTGCTGGCTCTGGCTGCTTTGGTGTTTTCTGCTGTTTGTTACAGTAACACAACAACATTTCAGTCACATTATTGAGCTATTGATGTAACAGAATAACAACCACCTTAACACACACTGCATGTGACATGATAGCCAACATCTGGAAACCACTTGTTACTCCTGCTTCCTGTGTATAACAACAGTCTGTTTGATAACAGATCTTAATCGGGGCGATCATCGAGAAGAGTCCAGCAGATCTAGATGGAAGGTTGCGGCCCGGTGATGAGCTGCTGTTTGTGGACGGGATCCCGGTGATGGGGAAGCCACACAGATATGTTATTGACCTGATGCACGGGGCGGCACGCAACGGCCAGGTGAATCTGGTGATCAGGAGGAGGGTTCAGGCAGCAGGTGAGGAAACATGAATGGTCTGACGTCATGATCAAACCATAAATATGTTTCTTTAATGGGGGTATGTATTACTTAAACTTCTGAACTCCAAGCAATGTCTGGCTGTTTTTTTGCTCCTGTCACATGTTTTTGCTCACTGTATGCTCATTTTTCACTGCAATATAAAGTCCTTCACCTCTATGGAAACAGCACAACCATGGCTACAGGTAGAGAGGCTCAAAAATGACTTTTGTGCCGTATGACACAGTAACAGTGCCATTAATCCTAAAAGAGAAAATATAAATATGTTTTTTCTTCTGTATTTATTTTACAAAAATTAAAAAAAAGAAAAAAGGAATAACATAAACAACTTTTTTTTTCAAGTGCTCACTGGTGCTATTAAAAAAACTCTACATATTTAAGATATTTTACTGCTTTCATTTTAAATTTGATTCTATGCTTGTCTCCTATATGCTCGGTGTAAGCACAGCCTGCAGTTCAACCCAGTTAAGTCAAAAACTATTAAACATTTTAAATTATTTGTCACAGTCAATCATAGCTTCTTAGTTGTATTGAAGAGCACACACTTATTTTATTTATTTTTGCAAAATCTGGTCAGATTAAAGTGTTAATTTTTGACATTTTCTTTTTTTGAGATGTGAGTTCAATGAAATATCACAATTTTAGGCTTAGATTTATTTAATTTAGCTGAGATAGGCTCCAGCCCCCCGTGACCCTAGTGAGGATTAAATGGTGTATAGATGATGGATGGATGGATTTATCTAATTTTACTGATGTAATGGCAAGTCACGTGATGAGTTCAAAAACCCTTTAAAATTCAATGATTCTTTCTGTTACAGTTTCTGGTTCTGATAAATTGTGTAATTTTGTTGATTTTCTTTAAACATAACTCACTTTTCAAACCCACCACTGGATTAAAAGCAGGAAAAAAGTATAATTTAATTCAAAGTAATTTATAATGCAAAAAATGCCAGACACTTTGCTGAGTCACACCTCTGAAGGTTTGCTGCTGTTTTTAAAGAGGTTTTGGACTATAAACCAGACAAAACAAGGTCTTTAAAGATGCCACCTTTGGCCCTCCTTGGTTTTGAAGCGCATGGTGAATACTGCAGAAAGTAACTTTAGTGAATTGTAAAACGAGTTCACAGTCTTAGCTTTCTTCTGTTCCTCTATCATCTTCTCTTGTTTCTCTCTTGCCTCTCCTGTTCACTGCTCCCATTCATGTCCTGTAATGATTCAGGGAACAGGTTTAATCAGTCAGAAAACTGAAGCACTAATCTCTGAGTAATTACACCGAGGCCTCCCCATAAAACACACTCTTGCTGTTACACACTGCTGTTTGCTCTCTGCTCCTCATTCGGCTCCTTTACCTTTGTAGCTGCGAGCCTGGAGAGTGGGATGGCACTTCCTTGTGTGAACCGCGGCCTCCCCTGTTCTCATTATTACCGCCTTCCCACACACACACACATACATACAGACACGTGCACAGGCTTTTTTCACCAATCCAATTCTTCCCACTCTATTCCGCCCTCTCTGTCAATTTCCTCTCACCAAAGGCTACTGCCTGACTCATGCCTGGCCTCTTCTGCAGCCCTTACTTCCATCCTAATTGTCTGACTCCCACTGGCACTTTACGAAGTGTCAGACTTTGCTCTCTGCTCTGAGCTCATACTTCTGCCTGCACCCAGTGCCCCACATTTTACACGATTCATTTTCTTTTTTTTGACTATTTTGTCTTCTCATGAGATAACAATTTGTGCAACGGCTGGTGTAAGGAAATACTACATGTTGGTATGCACCCTTTCACTGAGACAAATCTCACTGTAGCTTCACATTAGCAAACCAAAGTTACGCTTTAAATTCCTACCCGTTAAACAAGAGCAAGACGTCTCACCTGTGAGCTATCAAAACAACGCTGGGTTTGATCGCTCAGTGTGCCAGAGAGCGTATACACACAAAAAGCTAGAGTTGCACGAAGCAGCTTTCAATGTGGTTGGATTGACGTGATGCTGCATTTTAATGATACGTTTCACCACATTGTAAGCTTTTTCTGTTCCGAGTTGTCGTGTTGTGTTCGACTCGTGATTCTTCAAGGGAGGAGCTGTAGCCCTAGCTTGTCACATTTTAGTGAGAAGGATAAAAAAAAACAGTATGTTGTCTGTAAAATTAATTGTTTTTGCTCATGCAGAATAATCTGTGGATTCTACCAAAGTACCACACCGGTAACTCTTAGTGGAACAGAAAGACAGTGTGTCAGGAGTCTTTCATTTCCCTAATTTACTAACGAAAAGCTGTAGTCATGACAGTCTGTTTTTAATGTGCCAAAAATGCAGCATGTGTGTAGTGATGGAAAGTACATTTATTGTTTGTAAGTATAATTTGCTTGTGCTGGAGCCTTTCCAAGCTAACATTGGGTGAGAGGCAGGGTAGACCCTGAACGCAGCACCAGTCCATCTCAAGGCTAACACAAAGAGACAGGCAAGCGTGCACGCTCACATTCACACCTACTGGACAATTTAGACTCTGTAGTTGACCGCTAGTCTTTGGAGCACCCAGGCACAGGCAGAACATGCAAACTCCACACAGAAAAGCCTCAGCCCCTGTTGTGAAGCACAGCGGTCACTACTTTACCACTGTGCTCCCCTTTGTTACGACATGTCAGAGCTAATTATTGTGTTCTTTACTGCAATAATTCAGCAGTCTAGGAGTGAGTAGTGACTTCTCAGATTAAGTCTTTACATAAAGCACATAATATGATCTTTTAAGAGCGGCTGTGGCTCAGATGGTGGAGCGGTTGTCCTCTGATCATAAGGTTGGTGGTTCGATCCCCCACCCCTCCACAGTCAAAGTGTCCTTAGGCAAGACACTGAATCCCAATGGCAGGCTAGCGCCTTGCATGGCAGCTCTGTCATCATTGGTGTATGAATGTGTGTGAATGGGTGAATGAGAAACATTGTAAAGCATTTTGAGCACCACTAAGGTAGAAAAGCACTATATAAGTGCAGTCCATTTAAAAATGCAGCTCCTAGTTCAATATGAAATTAGCAATTATAAACTTTTTGGATGGGCTGCAAGGTGGCTGGCAGCTAGAAGGTCGCCGGCTCGTGTCCCGGTGAGGACACCTAGATCCTTCTGCGTGGAGTTTCCATGTTCTCCCCGTGCAGTGTGGGTTCTCTTCAGGTTCTCCAACTTCCTCCCACACAGTCCAATAACATGCTGAGGTTAATTGATGATTCTAAATTGTCCGTAGGTGTGAATGTAAGTGTGCTTCTGTCTCTAAGTGTAGCCCTGTGATAGACTGGCGACCTGTCCAGGGTGTCCCCTGCCTTCGCCCTGAGTCAGCTGGGATAGACTCCAGCGACCCTAGTGAGGATTAAGCGGTGTATAGATAATGGATGGATGGATGTCCTCAGAATCCATCCATGGACAGTTTAGAATCACCCATTAACCTCAACAACATGCAAACAACAAGGATTTTCCTAATGTTGTTTGAACTTTGCTATCAATATTAAAGGAAATCCACTGAATCTTTAGTTTCTCAGATGCTGCCAGTGTATGAAGACTCTTGTGTTCACTCTTGCAGCCAACATTTGGTTACTTTGCTCATGGCTGAGAAAATAAAATATAATAAGAGTTCCTACATTTTCTAAAATTGTAAAATGCTGTCTCGAATTATTCTAAATTGCTGTAAACCGTTTTGTCGTTATTTAAGTGTCCAAATTCTCAGATTTGTTACTTAACCTTCTTATTATCTTTGGGGTCAATTTGACTCCATTTAATGTTTAACGTCTCTAAATAAATGATTGACATACGTTTTTCTGTTTTATTTAAAGAGTTATTACAAATAAACTTGGGTAACGATTTTAATTATGATACTTTTCTGGAGGTTTAAATTGCTGGGGCCAAATTGACCCCAAGGATAAAAGATGTCAGTAAATTGAAGGTAATAGGAGGGCTAAAGTAGACTTCCTGGGTTGCATTTTATTGTCAGGTCGTTTTATTTATAATGTTCTATGCAAAAATAATAATTACAGTGCCCTCTCTGATCCCTCTTCACCCCTGATAGTTATATGATAAGAATGTGAATATCTCTTCCACTACTTTCTATCAGTAGAAGCACTGCTCAGCTCTCCATCTCCCTCTACAGGGGAGTCCTGTCCGGAGAACGGCCGCAGCCCGGGTTCTGTCTCCACGCAGCACAGCTCCCCACGCAGTGACTTCACGTATGGCAACAGCACCAGCACGACCCAGCCTCCCAACGCCGGCATGGGCAACGCCACCGCCACTTCCGACGGGACGCTGACCCCCAACACGCAGCCCAGTGACGTCATAATCAACCGAAAGGAGAGCGAGGGCTTCGGCTTCGTCATCATCAGCTCGCTCAACCGGCCTGAGGCGGCCGCAACCAACAGTGAGTCCGCTGATTGAGTGGCGTTTATGGAGTCAAGTCGATGCTTAGCCCGTGCATCATCACTCACCCTCTGCTCTGCATAATAACTACACCAAGTGCTCAATCTAGTGTAAAACCTCACAGGTGCATGTAAGCTGTCAGGTAGTCGCTATATAGAGTCGAGATTAGTGCCAAACTTGAGAGGAAGTTTAGGTCATGATTTACTAAAAAGTGAAGCCCCTCTTATTGTAGCTACTCAATTATACATGCCCTCCCACAGTACGTCAGTCTCACACATCTCTGTTCGGCTGCTGTGAGCATCAGTGCATCGCCCACACACATGAAAAAAAAAAAAAAAAGAAAGAAAAAAAAAAACCTGGATGCCTTACGTAAGCCTAGGGTGAATAGCAAAATGAGAGAGACAGAGACACATTCAGTCAGTCAGTCAGTGAGTGGTGTGTGAGCACAGGCAGGCGTAATCCTCCAATCTGCTGCCGAGCGCATCTTTACCTGCAGCGTGTTGCGTCTGAATCCTCCAACAGCTGTGCCCCATAAAATTGGCCGCATCATTGAGGGCAGCCCGGCCGACCGCTGCGGGAAGCTGAAGGTGGGAGACAGGATCCTGGCGGTGAACAGCCAGTCCATCGTCAACATGCCGCACGCCGACATCGTCAAGCTGATCAAAGATGCAGGCCTTAGTGTCACCCTGAGGATCATACCACAGGAAGGTGAGGAAACACACGTGGACGCACGCACAACATGACAGACAGGGACTTAAAACCGCATTAGTTTGGGCAGACAAGGATTTATGACGGTAATGGAATCTGTTAAATGAAAGTTTCATGGCAAGTTTATTAAAATGTGATTGTTTTTGAGATTGACTGCGATTTTGTCGTATTCACAAAAGCAGGTCTGCACATTCTCCTCACCAATTCTCACTGCGTTTCTGCAACACGTTCAGAAGCGAATGCTCGAACAGAGCTGCTTATCTCTTATTATAGTACCCGGGGATGCACAGGGGATGCTATAAATAATGTGTTTCAGTTTCCCATTGATTCTTCTCATATGCTGCAATCATGGCCGCATCGCTTTTGAAAACGAGATTGTAATCCCCAAGAGACTTTTACTTGGTCATCCAGAACAGATAGTCTTAATAGGCTTAAAATTACTACAGCAATCAAGACTGACTTTATTACTAAGAACAAGGAAGAGCCTGTATTATACATTAACAGAGGGACAAAATGCCTCCTTCTTCCAGTCGTATTCTTTGCCTTTAATAGACATTTGTAATCTCATTATTTGGCGATACAGCAAAGATACCCTGTGGAGTTTCGGAATATTAGTGGTGCTATAGAGCAGGGTTTTTTTTTTTTACAAGCGGGTCCCTGTTTAATTTGTATTGTGCACATGAAATGCTGTCCTGCTGAAAGTTTCACGCTGCTTCTCTGGTCAGAAGTTTGTGGCAGTAGTGTTTGAACAAAGGCAGTAAAAAATGAGAAGAGATGAGATACTGATTAGAAATGAGAATAACAGCACATACTTTCAAACACTCACTCCAGGAAGACAATTATAAAGTTGCATTTAGCTAAGAGAGGGAAGATCGAACCCAGCAAAGCTGCCCGAACGCAGCGTGAAGCGGCTGAGAATGTCAGATAGTCACGAAGTTCTAGAAACAATAGAACAATGGTGTTGTTCTATTAAACATAGGAATAAATCTGCACTAATAAATACTTTTATATTAAAAATGAAGGAAATGGCTATCTGTGTGTGAACAGGCTGCAATCCAGGTGTTTGAGACGTTTTAGCCTCTTTCAGCTCACTCTTTTGGTTTTGCAGCTCACAGCTTTACTCTTGTAGTTCTTCTGTTTTCAGCAAAAACTTTTAATAAACCCTCTGCGAGTTACCTGCCCAGCAACAAACAACAAAGTCAGCAACTTGCTGCTGGAAATAATGAAGTATTTACCAACTAAACAACCTCAGAGTTCCTTAAGCAGTTGTCGAAAACCTGAACAGAAACCTCCTTTCAGAGTGAATATTGGATTTGCTTTGATTTAAATTGTTGCTGCAGCAGATCAGCTTTATAATGAGACAATAAGTTTGCTGTGCTGCCCTCAAGTGGCCAAAAAATCAATTAATGCAAATTCAGGCATCAAAATAACAGACTTGCCTGGATAAATAAAGGCTTTAAGTGCTTGCTGTGGTTTTGTTTGTATCATTTTCTGTTCTTTCTGTATCCCAGAGATCAGCAATCCTCCCTCGGCGCCCAGCTCAGAGAAGCAGAGCCCCATGGCTCAGCAGCACAGCCCCAAGACCCAACCCAACACGGCAGCCTCCCAGTCCAACCAGGCAGCGACAGAACCAAACACATCCGTCGGCCAGCCCAACCCCATGCCCCACCAGAGCCCCGTGACCCAGCTCCCCGCCCCTCCGCCTCAGACCTACACCCACGAGGGCAGGTAAGACTCGGTTGGCAAGGCGCCGGCAAACAGCTCTAATGAATCCTGCTTCGTCCTCGCGCTTTGTTAAACACCGGTTTGCAGCTGTCTTCATTTTCTGATGCAGTGAAGCATTTTTATAGACTAGCCCCTCTATCTGTCTCTGGGGCAAAACACTGATCCACTGGGAACACAGGTATGAGTGAGTCAGATATATCCATCCCCACATTCTCTCCCCTTTTTCGGTACTTTTTATTTCTCTGCAGCTCTTGTTATTCCTCCTCTTCCTTTTTCTTTCTCCACCATTGTACTTTTCTCTGTCACTGTTTTGTCTCCTCTTCCTCTTCATCCCTCACACTCTCTCTCTCTTTCCCCAGTTTATTGTGTAACATCACTTAACTCTTATGGACTGCTCAATTATTTACATAAATTGCTTCTTTACAGAGATCTGTTGAATATTTTACCGAGAACTGCAGGGGTCCGAAATCTAAAGTGTCACTGGCGTTCCCTCTGCTTTACACAGTATCCACATGTCTTTGTGCTCAGCGTCAGCCTCAGAGAGAGCTTGTTTTTATTATAAACATTTTATGCGATGCGCGAGGAAAAACAGTTTAATTTCCACGCTTAAGTCGTGTTTAATGGTTGTCAGTGCGAAACTAAAACAAGCCATTTCTGTCAGCACCGGGGTGACCCAGCGGTTTGTCAGAAAGCATTATTTTCACAGCACACTAAGTGCTCAGAAAAATAACACAAGTAATTTTCCATTTCTACATAATAATGATGACAGTAATAGAAATGCTCCTGGAAGTTCTGTCTTCACTCCGATTGTTCTGTTAGTTACAGGTCTGAGGTGAAGGCCAGGCAAGATGTTAAACCAGACATCCGACAGCCGCCGTTCACGGACTACCGACAGCCACCGGTGGATTACCGGCACCCTCCTGTGGCAGACTACCGGCAGCCGCCCACGTTGGACTACAGACACCCGCCGCTGCTCGACTACAGACAGTTAGCTACTGATGCCAGACAGTTTGCCATCCCAGACTACCGAATGCCACCAGTTCAAGTAAGGATGTTTCCCCCTGCAGAGAATTGCTGCGTGCTTTCACAGACTCTTATGTAAAAGCCGACTGAGTGTTTGAGGCCAACACCAACACTGATACTTAAGACTATGGAGATCATGATCCTTTAAAGCTTCACTCATCAATATTTTATCTTAACAATAGTTTAGATGGCGCTGATTAATGATTAATGATTAATTCGTAGTGACAAATCTACAAAGAATTATTGCCCATCTCTGCCCATCCCCTCAGCTTTGTGGAGCTTTTTAGCATTTTAGCTCATTGTTTTGGTTTTTGCAGCATTCGGTTTCACTGTTTGGTTCAGTCACGGTGCTTTCATCAGTCTCATCCAAACACAGCAAGCATCTGTGCATGTTTTCTGTCAGCTAAAAACCAGCAGAGACTCATAGTTAGAAGCTAGCTGGTGAGTGTTTAGTGGTGCAGTTAGCAACTTAAGAGCTACATGTTTTACTTAGGAGTTGGTGGAAACCAAAACGGAGCAAAAAGAAGACAATAACTGACTTAGATTTGTCAAGTGTTCACTGGTTTAGATTAGCTAATATTTCTCCATATATGCTGGTTTTGTAGACAGGCAGCTGTTTGTAACAAAGTCACTCAAGCAACTTTAAAGGAGGATTATATGTCAGTGTACAGCTCAACCTCAGGTGCCCAAAAAAATTTTTTTTAACAATATTTGGCTATCAGCAACTGTATCTAGGGTATGTACCCAGCAGGACGTTTTAAGGCTAAATATACGATTGTGCTCCCTGCTGGAAAAAACGTAATAATTGCGACATTTGTTCATTGTGCTTTTGAAATTGCGTTGTCTTTACTGGCCGACATTTATACCAATAGAATATATCTATGATTAGCTTGTGATCTTATATTCTAAGCTGGTTTCCACATATTTTTGTTTGCAGTTGTGAAGTTTGGAATTGTCCAGTCTTCACCCTAAAATCTACATTTAAGTAATATTACAATAAAACTATTAAGTTTAAAAGTTGTTTGGTAAATTCACAACATCAGTCTTATTTCTCTGCTGAAAAGTACTTTGACTCAGCAGCTGTTGTTTTAAATGGGCTTAATAGGTACCGATGGCTTGACTTAAAATTCAATATATTTCTTTCTCATCAGATTAGATTTAGGATGAGAATCTTTCATACACATTTATGACAGCTGTTTTTCAGTTTTTATTTAAATGTAATGTAATATTTCTGCTTGAAGCTTTTGTCTCTTTCACCAACGAGACTACAAAGTTATGTCTTAACCAACAGGGAGTCGTGCATGAAAACTAAAATGTTGGACTCATTAGCATACTTTTTTTTTTTTTTTTGCCTCAGCAGTTCCCATGCTTAGTTCTAAAGTCTTTCATACAGTTCTTGGTTGTATTATATTTACTTGCATTTGCACAATTTTCATTCACTGATTTTTCTTTGCTGAGTCCTGTGACTATTTTCTGCTGTAACAGCCTCTTTTGTCCTCCGATATCTGTGAATCTAATCATGTCTGATCTCTGCTTGTCTCAGCTTTCACAGGACTTCGACTTCTTCACAGTGGAGCTGGAGAAAAGCGTGAAAGGCTTTGGTTTTAGCATCCGCGGAGGGCGGGAGTACAAAATGGACCTGTTTGTCCTGCGGCTGGCAGAGGACGGACCTGCAATCCGCAACGGCAGGATGAGGGTAGGTTTGATGATGTCGTTTCCTTTAAAAAATCTGCTACACCCTCTTTAAAGGTTAAGCTGCTTTCTATCTTTCTGGATTACATGGCAAACGCTCACTGTAATTGTATGATGTTATCAAAGCTGCAACAGCAACTTTTCTGAGCCGGCTAAGAAATAATCTGTCAAAATAACTTAGGAGATGGTTCGTCCTTTTGACGTTGAGAGTTTTTCAGAAGTTTCTCTGCTCCCAACTTCCCAAAACTCATCTCTCCCCTGTATTTAGTAACAGATGATATTCGGCAAGATAAAGATAGAAAAAAAAACCTTAAAGTGGGCCAACTTAAATTGTACTTAAGTGTTTGCACAGCTGCACCTCCCTCTGGCTATAGCTGCTAAAAAGGAGGAAAGTAGCACACATACTTTCTGAATTTGTAAAGATGTAATATAAATACGATGGAAAATTAAAACACAGCCCGTGACTCCACTCCTCCAACTCATTGCTGCTGTGTAAATTTTGAGTGATTTGCTGCTCGTACGATAAATTCCACAGCAGCTTTTCAAATTTGTCAATCCCTTCAGTCCTCTACTTTCTTTTTCTCTTTCCTGCATGTTCTCCAATCTTTAAGTCTGGGCCTGATAGCCTCAGTATGCTCTACATTGCTTATCTGTAATGAACCTGTCAAAGATAATGTGTGCAAAATGCCCCTGGGGGAGGTATTACTTTCCCTGCTTGGTGGTGTAGTCGATGGAGTCCAGTGGGCCCAGACGCAGGTGAAAGAGGAGGAGGAGGGATTCCCTCCTGAGCTCTTTTTACATTCAGTGTACAAGCTGCTTTGGCGTCTGAGCACTGGTGCAAAAGTATACTGTCTAAAAAGAAAGCAGTAAAAATTCTGCGCTCAAAATCTAACTTCAAAGGTCCCCTATTGGGTTCCTTTTCAGCAAAGTACAGACATGTCCCTGAATGTGTCGATCAGTTTTACAGCTCAGAATCCCTCAAAGATGGGTCATTTCACCACAACTGTATAACTCCTCCGGGTTTTAGTTCTGTTCTGAACAGGCTGGTTCAGTCTGTGTAGGTTTAAATACAACCGAGCTGCTGCTGTCCACGCCCCCATCAGGAAGAAGACTCTCTCTGTGTCTATCCATGACAGCACAGAGCTAAACAGTTGACCACATCGTAGCTGAAATAGACATGAATGAATGTGTGACACCAGGACTTTCTGTTGCTTTTAGCTTTCTCTCTGAGTGATCATTTTACCTGGAAATCATTACTCCATCATCACTGCCGCTGAACACAAGCATGGCGGTCCATATAAGTTTTGTTTAGGCGTCTATCCAGGAAGCTGTCCCAGACTGAGGGCCTCAGCAGCCTTTAGTCTGGCTTGTCTCTCTTCCTCAGCCTTCCTCCTTTCAAACTATCTCACGCCATCACGAACTGTTCTCCTCCACACTAGTGTGTCTAGTGGAGCTGTAGCCCAATTACCAATCTCACAGTCTTTGAACGTCTCTGTGAGGGCGTCCTTAACTCTCTTCTTTGGAGGATTCTGGTTCCTGAGGACAGCTGGCTAAAGACAACCTGTTTAGGAAAACGAAGTGCATTCATTCTAACCGTATGTCCAAACCATTGGAATCTGTTCGAATGTAGCATAGCTTCGGTGAAGAACCTCAGCATTGGTGACACAATCAAACCACTTTGTATTTAAAATTGTGCGTAGATATCATTGATGAAACTTCTCTAGTTGTTTTACTTGGTATTAGTACATAGTCCACATTTCAGAACCATAAAACATGTTGGTATAATGATAACTTGATAATTTTGGTATTCAACTCAAGTTTGTGATTATCAAATACCTGGAAATAGCGCAGAATTTACAGCACAGTTGTTAATATTAACTCATATATACAATGCAGTTTTTCAGACAATGTTATAAAATCAATATTTTTGCTATAGAGAAGCTGTGACGTGACTGCTGGTTCATATGTAACCTTACTGGGATGTGTTTCAGTCAATATTTCATACTGTTGTCTAACAACAGAAACAAAAATACATGTAAATGACAACAGCTCTACTGGGAATATGGCTGCATTAAAATTCAGACGTATCCCCCCGAGAAGTTCAGAGTATCATGTTTTGACGTAAACTCTTAATTTGATGGCTAAGTAGTGTCTGTAAACTTCTAGATAAATACAGTGGGGTAAAAGCTGCAGTACTTCCCTGTGTGTGAATTACATGTATAAATTAAATAAACATAAAGTTAGTTAAGTAAAGCTCAAGTGCCTTGGAATTGTACTTGAGTAAATGCGCTTAATTACATTCCTCCCTTGAGTCTAATTTGTCGCAGTTGAATGGCCAGACAGTAACACTATTGGTAGCATATCGAAATCAGCTCGACACTGTTTTCTTGAGGAAGGCACAGAGAGCACTTTGATCCCTCCTCCAACAATCCTCGATCCATACTGCTGGGAGCAGTGAAGAATCAATCTGCATTTAGCTTAAGTAAATGTGAGACATTGCTTAAAAAGCATTTGTGACACGGCTGTCACTTTGGATTTGAGTGCTGCTTTAACACATACTAAGGTGCAGAAACCAAAAAAAGCCCACTTGCACTGTGACTCCCTGCAGTCACTCTGACATTTTGAGTTTCAGTCAAGTCATTCCTCTTCAAACAGGCACTTTGAAGCATCTCTAAAAAGGAAGAAAACCTATTTTGACTGTAGAAGCTACAAACTAATCAGCAACAAGGAGCGCGAACAAATTCTAACAAGTGTCTTTTCGGGTTCAAGTGCCAGTGCAGAGGCTTTTAAGCAAATTGTATGAAGTGATTGGTTATTACAGATAATCATTTGGCACATTTAATTAACAGTTTTAGCTTTAAGCTGTTAAAACCAGTTTTCAGTCGGTATCGGGTGCAGGAGAGACGAGTTTATGTCCAGCTCACGCTCTCCGAGCTCAGCAGTCACGTGCTGTCCATTCGGCTTCAGCTGCCTCTTTATTAACGGTGACAATGGAGATGGCTCTCCTCCGCTGTTAGGGGGTGAGGATTAATGAGCGAACCGTCTTGCCTTCCACCTCCTCCACCTCTCTTCAGACCACTGTAATGACACCTAATGACTCCCCTTCTGTTGACTCGAGTCCGCTCCTGACTTTCAAATTACCTCGACCATTACTGGAGGACTTCTCCATTTGTTAGCGTAATTGGCCGGCACGTTTTGTCCTGTTCCCCATGAATCCTCGCCATTAGTCAACCTCGGAGGCGACTCTTGAAGGGCGGATACGTGTCTTATGTTTGACTCAACCTCGTATGTTTGTCAGGGAGCAGTCCACTTAGTATTTATGTAACACTGGCTCAAAGAAAGTGCATCACCTCATAAAATTGTGGTCCGAATAACCTCAGCATAGGGCAATATTTCTTTCAGATTGCATCAGATAAGATTGACGCACATAGGTGATGATGTAATACTGCTTTAGGTGTTACTCTCAGCTCTTTAAGCCATTTTACAAGAGCTGCAGTCATCCTTTGCTTGTGTCATGAAGGCAGCTGCTAAATTTTCCATTTTGTTTTCCATTTAAAATGAACAAAAGCCTTTATATAACTTCTATTTTTTTTACCAAAACCATTGCACAAAGGTTGCGTTTTGGAATAGTTTCAGAGCGCCTATTTTTGCCTGAACTGGGTAAAAAGGAGCTAGAAAATGTGAATTTCCTGATTGATGTACCATCCACGAACACCAGTGTAGCTGTTCACTGAGCTGCTGCAGTTGTGTTGTTTTATACCTGCAGGACATTGGTATTCATCAGAGTGTAATAATACGAACCTCAGCAGCCTCCTGACAAGCAGCCGGTCGTAATTCCATCCAAATGACATGTCAAAATTACTGCCAGAATTAATCACAACTGACACCAGTTTATGACCGGTAATGCTAATTAATGCTTGCAGAAGCTCACAGGACAGTCAATGAATTATAGATTGGTATTGATCCTTATAAATCACAAGGCAGAAGCCTCATGAAATTGCATTTCATATATCATTAACTGTTTCTTTTTTTGGTCTGTTTTTTTGTTGTTTTGTTCCAGATGTACACGGGGAACATTAGCCCTCTCGGTTTAGTTTCCCCCATGCTTCACAGTTACTGGTCAAAGAGCTTTATTGACGCTTTCGAATCTATAAACACAGCTTCAGTACTGATTCGCTGCTCGCTGTACGTGGCTGCTCTCAGCTCACCAAGTATTTATCGGTCTCTGAATAAAAGCTGTCTGAAGTTTGTGGCTGAAAAAAAAAGAAACTTTTTTATTTACTTTGAGATGATGTTGTGTGCAACGGTTTGCAAAGGAGTCTCTTCTGGACTTAAAACAGTTGCATCTTGAAAATCTGGGGCAGGTTATCTGTTCTCCGCACAGCACAATGATATCATACATCCCGACTTTGATTTATTTTTATTTTGCTGGGACATTCCAACATGCCACCCTTGTGCTATTAATGAACATGTCATTTTAAAGTCGTCACTCTTCTGTTTAGGTCTTACAACAGACTTTGGATTCTATCTGGCAAATGAAGCCACCAAATGCAGGAAAGTGAGAACTTGCAATATGCTGATCAAGTATTTTTGCTTGTATGTCGATACAAATTCCCTCACTTTTCTGCATTCAGTGTCTTCCTTACTTTTACTTTCATTTATTATGACTGATTTGATTGTAGGGATGGTGGTGCTAAACTTTTAACAGTGTGACTGATCTACTACTCTGCTAATCCATCCAGCACCGTAACACTACCTCTATCACTTATTGGGGTTTTTCTTTTTTTTTGTTATTACCCCCCCTCATCAGGAAGAAAAAAAAAAAAATTGAGCGCAGGACTTTTTCTGTATTTTCACTCTGCAGTATTCATCGTTGTGAACACACTGCAAACACCAGCATTCACTTGGTGAAAGGGTGAAAATAAAGCAAGAGTTTGCCTGCAGCCCCCCAAACCACTAAATCCCCTCTGCCCTGAGCGCTCTGGATGCTCTGAAACTGAATTTCAACAGTTCAGATGATGCTCTGACCATTTCACATTGAAACTTATAAACACACAACAAGTCGAACTGGAGACTCCTAAACCAGACCTCTCCTCTGGATTCAGAAAATATATCTGAGACAAATTAGAAACTGAGCTGGTGAGATAAAATGAGTGCAAGATAACTTTTTTGTATTAATAATAAATAGGAAAACTGTTTACGATCGCACAACTGATACCAAGTGATAAGCTTGATGATTCTTTCGGTGTTAAATAATTCACCCTGGGTGCCTGTTTGATGCTGGGTTTCAGCATCCTAGTATTGATATCAGATGATTAGGGACCCACGCTGACATAAAGCCACACGTCTTTACTGTACAGAGCCATGTGGGGGTTGTACCGCCATTGTTATGTCACGCTATAAGTAAGAAATACAAAAGCTTGTGGAATGTACAGTGCCTGGCAGGGCTCGTCTTCATGATGACTTTTCCTGTTCGGTGGTTTCTTTGGCTGGCAGTGTGTTTTTCTCCTGAGTCTTGTTCAGCTTGGTTTTGGCAAAGATCCTGACTTCAGCTTTGTCAGCCTGTCTTGGTTGGGCCAGGTTCAGGAGTCTTCATCCACTGTGTGAAAAGATTATGTGAAAATATTTGCTAAGAACATTAGTGAAGGGGCATCCAATGTTGGCTGCTTTCGGCTGTTTTTGTTGCATTCCATTTCCTGTTTCCCAACATTTCTTGACTGTTTCTACAATGTCGATTATTAAAAAAAGACAAAAATGTGATAAAATTACATTTTTAAAAAAGCATTATTGAGGTCACAGTTTATGGTAATAATCCCTGGCTGGGAGTCTGAAAGGTCCTGGACTGACTTTGTGCTCATGTTGAAGCAGTTTTCCAAATCTTATAAGCGCCTCATTTTGCCTCCTCATTGATGTTTACAACTTCTTTTCTTTGTCTGTCACACGCTTCCTGACATCCAGGTCGGGGACCAAATCATTGAGATCAATGGAGAGAGCACTCGGGACATGACACACGCCAGAGCCATCGAGCTAATCAAATCTGGAGGCAGGCGTGTTCGTCTCCTCCTAAAGAGGGGTACGGGGCAGGTCCCAGAGTACGGTAAGTATCTGCATTTTAAATGATACGGCGGCTTTCTTTGTCTTTACAATTCATTTCTCTCTTTAACACTTAAACTGTATTCTCGTCACTGTTGCCTAGAATCACTCTTGATAACATTAATCTGGCATGCGTTTATATTCATGTTATATCTTTAAACTCTTCATACTCTTGTATTCTTCAAACTTCTTTATCCTGTATTTCACTATGCTGTTAAAAAAAACTAATTGTTTGTTTCTTCTATCTTGACTAACACTAGTTTATCTTCTGTCCATTTCAGTGATCTATCACTAATTGATTGGTCTAGGTTGTTACTTCCCCTTCTATAGGAATGGTATCTTCCAGTCTCTCCATGTGCATGAAAAGTGACAAGCATGGCTCCCCCTATTTCTTCCTAATGGGCCACTCTAAAGACACGGTTTGTGACCATACGAATGTTTTTTATCTTCACGTAACCCTGGCTTTCTGTTGCTGTGGTTTTTGTGTGTTGTGTTTTTTGTGTGTGTGTGTAACCACGTGATTCAAGATGCACAAACAACTTGTTTTATAACCTTGAACAAGCCAAACTGTTGGAACATTTTTTATTTTTTTTTGCTTGTGGAATAATCACCCCAAAAATCACTCCAAGCTGCGGGAGGTTGTAAAATTAGTCAACATAACTCTCTTCCCGACGGAAAGATAAATCAACCCCCAGCAGCTACCTACAGGCCCGAAAATATAGCAACATGAGCATTCACCCTGAGTCAGCCGAGGGGACGTGAAAGTGAAATATCGCGGCTGATTTTTTTAACCAGTAAAATCTGTGCGCAGCGCGAATTGAGCCTGGAAGGGGACATTTATTTGTGTGACACCGCGGGTAATAAAACTCTGAGGCGTCTCTCGCTCCCGAGGCTTCTGCATCACTCTCTTTTCTGCATCCTCCTGCTTGAGAGACAGTCATTTTGGCCATTAAAACCCCCCCAGTGACACAAATTGATCAGCATAGGGCCTCGGCGGTCACCCTCTAGCCCTTAAACACAGGAAATAGAGGGTAATGTTGTTCCCCCATGGCGGCCCTTTTCTGCCAGGCCCCTTCCAGCCAGGGATTTAATCTCTGTCTGTGTGGAGAGCTTTGGTAATACTTGCCTTGAGGTGGTTCTCCAGCCTTGAAATATGCACACAAGGAGGCTTAGTGTGGTCAGCCAGACACCAGAAATCTTTTTCTGTGTTCTCCTCTGAATTTCCCTGCAGTCTCCAGGCAGAAGCAGCATTTTTAACCCACATGGTCTCGTCTGTGTGGGTTTGATTCAGCATTTCATCACTCGTAGTTTACAGGCACTTTATTTGCATACTAGAAGGTTATGCAAATCGTGTACGGTGATTAATTTGGCTATTTGAGACATTAGCATACTAATGTTCAAAGGAGCGAGCTATTTTTATCTCAGGTTGTTGTGTGCTTTGGAGGAAGAGCTCAGTGCAAAATGAAGCATGGAAAAATCAAGATTATAAAGTGAGTTGTGTTGATGTAATATAGTTGTGGTGCATGAATATTCCTGTGTGAGGTGTTGTTTGAGTTATTGAGTCCCTCTATCTAACATAAGGGCTGCAGCTCCAGGGGGAAAATTTATCAGTTACTCTGAAGAATCCTTTTAAAAAAAACAAATTGGGAGTACAAGTTAGATTAAAGCAGCTCCAAAGCAAACTGAGGAAACTAATTATGCTCAGAGAGGAAAGGCTGAGTCCAACATGTGGATCAGATGTTATAAAGGTAAGACTCAGCACTTGAAGAATCCTGAAAAGGAATTAAGGAAAGTTTTGAGGATAGTGGTTGTAAAACAACTAAACCAAGAAACTATTAACTGCGCTGATCATTTGCATTAGAAGTATAACTTGTGGGGGAAGAAAGGATGTTTAAAACTTTTTGGGGTGCAAAATCACCTAATTTAATTAGACGTGACAGATGAGTCTATGAACTTACAGTTATGACTCTCTCTCCATTCATTTACATAAGAACCTGGTCTTGTTAGTGTAAATTTAAATGTAAAATCCTTAAATTCTCTCATTATAGTGGTATTTTTTTTTAAATCTGAATACTTTTTATGGTTTAACCCTTTAAACCCCAATCAGATTTTGCTCTTATCATAGTTTGAAATGTAAAAATCCAACGATTCGCTCTGTTTTATAGTGTCTCCTCTGATTATAGTGGCATATTGACTAGTTTTTTATTTTTTTGCCTTTCAAACCCACTGGTGGCTTTTGGACTTGAGAGGATTAAAGCCAGTTCAAAATATCTCCAGTAGCAATTAAAATAATACTCTTCAAATACTCTTTAAATTTGGGCCTGCAAGAGGGATTAACTAAAGGATGATCAAAATCGATGCGGAGGAAACCAAAATAACCTGTTTTAGTCCCTCTGGATCAAACTTAAAAAGCACCGGATACACTTCCTATAATGTAAATTTCACATTTCATTAAACCCCATCGACCTGATAAACACATTTCTGACTTTACACTTATATTTGTTTGGTTTCCTTTAAAAAAATAAAATAAAAAAAGGCTTACAGTGCTTTTGAAAGCCAACCAAAACATTATAGTTACTGTTTTCCTTGGCCGAATAACACTCCCTGTGAAAAAGTCCAAAAAACCTCACAGTGTACTACCTGCTCAGCACCAAACTGCACGGACAAAGTTAGTAACTGGCTGGTGAACATAGTGTGTGTTTAGCAGCTACAGAGCCAGATATTTCCCTCAGGAGTAGCAGACAGTAAGACAGTGCTAAAAATGTACCACAGGGTTTTCCTGCTTGGATGAAAGACGTTTTAAGCGGCGCCAAAATGATCAAAACTGAGACTAAAAAAAAAAAAAAGTTTCACTAGTTTTGTTATTGAGCTTTCCTTCCCTTAAGCATAATATACATTTTTGTTTATCAAATGATCAGAAATAACAGAAAAACGCATGAAATTCTGTCTAATAAGATAGCACAGACTCGTTGCCTTCACTGAGCATGCTCACTGCTGTGCGTAGTCGCCCCCCAAAGGGCTTATTCTGAGGCAGGAAAAACCCTAAAAACTGGCAACAAGTGAGCCATATCAACTTTAAAAATGACCATGTGTCTGTGCTGTATTTCCAGCTCATGCCTGCTGCACCCAAGCAGCCAAAAATAACGTGCTGCTCGTCTATAGAACAAGATCCCATATTTAAGTTTCGATGACTCAGCAGAAATGTAAGGTGAGCAGAGCTTTAGCGGAGCTGACACTAGGCATTAGCACAGCATGTGATAATCATAGTTTTTTTCACACACCCGAACAGCTGCACACACACATAGAGCTTCTTTACGGGGGCTAATGTCACTTCATTGCAGCAGGCGTACTGTAGGTAAAGCGCTGTGAAGTTCCAGTGTACTTAGAAAATGCCTCCTTCTCCCTCTTAGCTCTGCATCTAATGTGCTCCAGCGCTGCATGAGAGTCTCCTTATAATTGGGCCTCATGGCGCTTGTGTAGCCGGCCTAGCCTCTGCCCCCTGCCTGGACCGCTGAAAATGACTGATGGCCGAGGGACCGGGGCTCATCGGTGCAGAAACGGAAGCTAACAGTCCGTGAGAGTGGAGAGTTTTGTGGAGGAACGAGCCTCAGATTCACTGCGGCGGCTACACTGGATGCAGACTTTCTCAGGCTTAAGAGAGAGAGAGAGAGAGAGAGAGAGAGAGAGAGAGAGAGCTGCTCGGCCCCTGAGGTTTTCATTCTCGCTAAAGCACCACCCTATTGGGCACATCATCCATTTCATTAAACCCGTTTTCGATTTTCCGTCAAGGTTTTAGATTGGCCGAGGCATTAAAGAGAGCTATGGGAGGCAGATTGATGTTGTCTAAAAGTAGAGCTGCCCTGTGACACGTTCGGAAGTAGGTTATAGTGCTGCTCGGATATTTACTTTAATGCTTCTGGCTTGTAGAATAGGACTGATTGCTGTGATGATTATTGTGTTGATTTTATAGTGTTTGCTTGTGCGGTGGTGTGCGAGTCTTTGAGCTGTGCGTTGGTGCCGTCTTCACCAGTGCTGACCGTGTTCGTATGTGTTCCAGACAATGCCGCCCCATGGGATGCTCGCCCTTCAGCCTCCCCAAGCCTGTCGGAAGTAGCCCCTCCCATCGACAGCCTTTCCATGTCATCGCCTTCATCTCATCTGGCCCCGGCCCCCGACCCTCCTCATCTGCCACCTCAGGACGTCCCTCGAGACCCGGTGGCACGAGACAGCAGGACGGAGCGTCCCAAGAGCCCCCAGAAAGCCGAGCTGCTGAACCCAGATCCCACCGGCCAGGGGAGGAGAGTGGCGACAACCGGCGGGAGCGGCAGAGCCAAGAAGGAGGGTGGCAGGTCCACCCACAAGGGGCACCGGATGCAGCCCGCCGCCGACGGGGAAGGGGGCAAGGAGGGGCAGAGCGGAGAGCCCAAACCTTCCAGGAGCACCAGAGGAAGGTCCAAGGAGAGGAACACTGGGGACACTAGAGAACCCACCCACTCTCCCAGCGGCTCGAAGCTCCCACACACTAACGGGAACAGCAGGGAAGACGCAGAGCGCTGGAGCGGCGGGAAGCAGGTGGAGCCAGAGCAGGGCAAGCCGAGGCCCAGGGAACCAGACAGGGGCCAGGGAGAGAGCCGGCCCAGCCTGCCCAGCAAGAGCACCAGCAGCGGCATCGCAGCGGGGAGGAAGGTGACGGTCTCCCCTGGGCCTTGGAAGATCCCTGGATCAGACAAGCTGCCCAGCACACTGCGCACAGGCACGTCCAGGCTGAGCAGATAACACAGCAGCTCCAGCAGAACACAGTGGCCACCCTCATCTGAACTAAACCACCCATCTGGACGACATCCTCACACCTTCCTGAGCCCCTTTAACTCCCACCCCACCTCCACCCCCCAACCCCGTTACTACCATAGAGTCAAAACCAAGAAGGGGGCGCAGGGTGATCTGGACCACGTGTTTTTAAAGTTTTATTTATAATACTGTGTTTTAAATTATTTTGAGAAATATTTTACACCCACCACCTTAAGAACTGGAAATATCATCCACTTTAAAAAAAAGAAAAAAAACAAAACAAAAAAGGAAGAGCAAATCTTTGTGTAGCGCGGCGAGGAGTCTTTTGGGAGGTTTGAATGAATTATAAGGACCTCTATTCTCCCCGAGCAGAAGTGGGGGACAAACATGCAAATATGAACAATTTGACAGGACGCAACTGTCGGTTGGCGTTGGATTTTTTTTATATATCTACACAGTGGAGTCTATTTTATGAAATGGAATGTTAAACAGATGCCTGTTTTTGATGAGAGTGAATGGATCAAAGAGCGACAGCGGAGATGAAATCTGCTCATCAACAGAACATTGCCTTAACAGAGACAGTGTGGGCCTGAATCTGTCTTGAATGATCTATCAGATGATTATAGACAAAGATATATTATAATGAATATGAATATGTGGGAACATTTTGTAAATAAGATCATCTTTAAGTGAACAGAATCTTCTAGTTAAGCCGCAGGAAGTTCTAGTCCGCGAATAAACGAGCAAAGCAGCGAGACATGGACCAGAACTTTCAGCGCAACAACTTCCCCCTCTCCTACTCTCCCCCCCGTTCAGCCCTGTGATTGCAGTTTTGGGGGGTTTCGGCAGCAATTCCTGCTGTGATTGACTGCACAGTCTGTTTGGAGTTCGGTGGGGTTGTCTTGTCAATCCATTTTATCTCGTTTTCGTGCTTAACCAACACGGCAATCTGCGACGGTGGTGTCCAGCCGGACGCTGACAGAAGGAGCTCGCATGAAACCGACCGATGGGCAGAGTGCCTTAGACTGACACAGAGGTTGGCTTTTACGTCAAAGGTTCAACTCCAAAATACTTCGGAGGATTCAAAACAGGCTGCTATACAACACCAACTTTACAGATATAAATAATAAACTGTATTTTTTCAGTGTGATATGGTGAAATATATAATTTATTTCACAAGCTTATGTATGAAAATTAGTCCATTACCAGAGGTATTGATGGTCCTTATTTGTGGAAGTGCTGCATTTCGGGTCATGATACTTTCATTACTGATTTCTTAATGAGGTCTGACACCAGTAATTTCCATGAAGAATCACTTTTATGAGACGGTGTAATCAAATGTCAGCACATGGCAGAGCTTTGCACCCAAACCAAACCAAATTAGTAAAATCTGATATTGAGTCGTCGGAGAATCAATCCGGCTTGTCAAGAGCTCTCTGGCCTAACAGTGTGTAACTAAACGAAGTGAAAGCAAAACATTTCTGTCATTTCCAGGGAGGCTGAAGAGAGGGCGCACGTGTCAGAGACCCTGTCAGCTGCTGATTTTGATTTGTTTTAGGTGATTCTGTCGACACTGTGTGATATTAAGACGTACATATCCATGCCAAAGCTCCTTGTAGGTTTTCTTTTTTTTTCCTCGCCTGCCCCAGAGTTCAAAGGCTTTGAAGGCTGTTCTCTTGTACATTTTTTTTATACAATAACCTAACAACTGACTGTTTGCTAAGCCCTGCCACCTTTAGTTACTGTTGTTTCTCCTGTCAAGCTTTCCATTTGCAGGTAACTGTGATAAAAACGGAGGCAGCAGTTCGTGAAATGGAGGGTCCTTGATTTCAGACAGAGGTACTTAAAAGCAGCTTTCATGTTTCACTTTTAGTGTTAGAGGAGGAAAGGCTTTTAGGATGAAGACTTACAGGTGTGTCTCAGGTAGCGTCGGCTGAGGTCGGTGGAGTGCAGACTTCCCAAATCCAATTAAAAGCGGGACTGAGCCACTAATGATGCCACGCTAATAAATAGCAATTGATTTCAGCTCACATGAGAGCAAATAAACACACATGAATCATTTCCTGTTTTTGGTTTTGTTAAAAAAAATCTAATCTAAAAGTTGACATCGCCTACCAAACCCGTCCTCCAGCCAAATGACAAGACGTCAACAGGAGCATAAATTCAAAGCTTGACAGGTCTGCAGGTGCTCAATGTGATTGAATGGCTCTTCAGGGGAGGAGTTTAGCAAATGGTCAATTTTAAGGTCTACAAATCTTCGACATCCACATGCAGATGCTGTAAAAATTCTGAGTGGTAATTTTTCCTCCGAGTAAGCCAACATTAATGAAAAGAATAAAATACGAGAGAAAAATTTTTTTCCTCTCTTCCTTTGCTAACAGTGTTTAAAAGAGCAAAGGGAGACAAGTCATTATGTTTGCAACTGTAATCCGTAATTACACAAGGACTCAGCAGACAGACTTTAAAACACAATCCAACACAGAGGGATTGGGATTTGAATTATTGTGTCAGGAAATAGAAAAATCATCAGCCAGGCACAAGCGGCTCAGCCGTGCAATCATTTGTAGATGATGTGTGGGGTTAACATGATTAAAAACAACATCCTGTATCATCGTGCCCATTTGGCCGGACTGCTCCTTTATTTTCTAACTCCTTATTGAGGCAGAAACAAAAATATGTGCGTACTTTTTTTGCTCATCCTTTGCACAACTCACTGCTTTCCATGTCTGAGCTGTCTCCGTCGAGCCAAATTGTAAGTAGTTTTCTAAGGAAATCAAAAACAATATAAAAAAGACTATCTAGAGGTGTATTTGCAAAAGCGTGTGTGTTGAAATGCGCACGACAGCAGCGTAAACTCCAGCACCCAAGCGGCTCAGTATCACTGTGTAGTGCTATAGCAGTGTGTAGACCCTGAACAAATATCTCTATAAATATGACTCGGTGTACTATTGATGGTCACAAAGACTGTAAGTGGAGCAACTATTTTTATGAAATGCAACATTATGGATATATTAACTTTTGCAAAAATCTTGTTTACCTGTATGATATTCTGAAACGCTGTCAAAATAAAAGAAAATCTTGACACAACATGAAAGATTCATTTAGGACAAGCTGCTGTGTGGTTTATTGCTGGGGTTTTTTTGTCATACATGGGTCACTCTTCACTTTAACCCTCACACTATAATGTAAAGACAGGTGACAAATTA